TGTCTTTGCCGGCAGGATATTCCAAGGCCTGACTCTCACTCCATGCACGCGTGTTGCACTCACGGCGGTCATACAGTCAGGGCTGTCAAAGTCTTAGGCCTTAGGACTTGAATGACCCGGCTTACTCTCTTCGGGTTCGAACATCGGCCCCCATGCTGAGTGTTGAGCAAGGCGAGTGGAGCTGTTTCCTCAATTCAATCACGGCTCGGAGGCGCTCTAGACCATCAACATGCCGATGTGGCCTCAAGAGCTGTTTTAGCTGGGTACTTTTCATTGCAATGCAGTGCCATAGAACCTGCAGGAACAAGGGCACATAATGAACTGCCTTGCAAACCGTAGAAGCGTCTTTGAATCCGAAAGCCTGTGGCGGTAAATCCCTCGCCTCAGCCAGCACACTGAACCTTTCATATTGCCGGGAGCCTCGCCGTGGTGCTCCCGATGCTCCGTATGACTCTTCCTGTCTGCTTGGCTCTGGCTTTTCTGAGCTCGAGCTCCTCCTTCTGCGCAGCCTTCAGCCGGCCGAGGCCTAAGTTTCAGCTGGAGGCCAAGTTAACAGAAACGGAAGTGGGGCCGAACGATGTTGCTCCGAGCAATGTTGCACCCGCCGCATGGGCGGAGCAAGAGTGGCCGGAGTGGAAGCGCTCCCATCGACGCATTTGCTCGCTCTTTCGTGGGCTCTGCCCGGATTCCACCGCCACCGCCTTCAAGGTCACAGCCATGGCCACGGCGGACTGCTTGGAAAACATGCTTGGCATCGGCTCCGGCTGGTTTGTGCTGGCCGTACTCCCCTGCGCAGCCTTCGGCCTTTCTCGACAAGAAGTCGACAAGGCCGCGGTGGGGCTCTGCCGGCAGGGTCCAGGTTCCTGCGTCGATTGGTGGAGCCGTGGCCCGCAGATCACGCCGGTATCACTGAAGGTCTTCCTTACGGTGCTGTTGCTGATAGAACTCTTGGGCTTGCAGGCGCCGCAGTCGGATGTCTTCACCTTGCCTGAGACGATCCGGCGAGTGCGGGCGCACCCCTATGGAAGGACGCCGGAGCTTGGCTTGCGTTGGGGCTTCGCTTGTGGCGATGATGGGGATGCAGGCTTAATGCCCCGGCTGACATACATCTTCATGCCAAACCTAAACGATGCTACGGCAGACAGCTACGCCTCGATGTTCTCGATCCTGCGGACATCTCTGCTGGCGTCGTGGTGCGCTTTCCTGGTGCTTCCCTGCAATTGGGCGTCCTCTTGGGCCTGCTTTGTCTGGGGAGTCGTGGTTTATGTGGTCATGGCGAGTTTGGGAATTATGTATCAGCCATATTGCGTTTCTGTTTGCACCTGTCTCTTCCTTGTGGCGGCAGCCTGCATCTTGCCTTCCTTGGAGAAGAGCCCGAGGGCACGGGCCTGGCTTGGTATGTTTCTGATGGTCAGCACACTCGCTCCATTCTACTTGTCTTCGGGGCTCGCAAAGCTCCGCTACGCAGGCTGGGCCTCCGTGCTCTCCGGTAGCTGGTTGACGCAAGTCTTGCAAAGCGCTTCAGACAGATCTGCAGTTCCGGGCTTCGTCGAATGGATCGTGAAGACTCCCGTGGTTGCTGCGGTCATGTCTTTCGGCGTGCTCTTGGTGGAGTTCTTGCTTCCTCTCTCGGTGCTCTTTCTAGCAAGTTCGAGCTCTGACTTGGCCTGCTGGTTACGGACTGGCTGGATCCTTTTGACGACCTTCTTTCACATCGCCACCATCGTGATCGTTGGTCCCAATTTCGCTCGACAACTTCCATTGTTGATGATGCTTCTGCACGGCGTTTGGCATCCGGTCAGAAGCACCGATGCAGAAGCCATTGATCCTGAGCAAATGACTTCTTGGGCACGGAGGGTGAGCTTTGCAACTGCGCTGCTGGTCCTTTGGATGTGCAATGCGCTGTGGTCAGACTTCGACCATATTTTCGGTGCAACACCTCGTGCTTCTCATCACGACATGCAATGGCCACTGCCGGAAATGTCCATGTTTACTTCGACTTCCGCATCGACCAACTATGTCCGCTCTCTGTCCCTTGAGATTGCCATTGCGGTGGCGCTCTCCGGCAAGGTCTGCTACGACATCTCACGGGCAGCCTCCGCTGTCAAGGGCGAGCAGGCAGATTCGTGCACAGGGTGAGGATGAACTTCACCGCAGTTCAACAGACACGGCCCCAAGAATTCCAGGGGGAGACCTTTGCACGGCTTTGAAAGCGCCCTTATGTGACTGTGGCGACACTGTCGTCGTTCATTTCTGGCATTACCTGAAGTTGGTGTCCCGATTGAGGGCAGATGATATGTATGGTAACATCTCGAGATGTTGATTTTGCTCAGTGGCAACATAGTAGTTATCGAGGTTTTCGCTAAAGTAGCTGGGCACCGGTGGGAAATCAAATGGGCTTAGAATCGAACTTGATGATGGCCAGCATCGTATCGGGAACAGGTTGCACCATGAGTCTTCACCCATGCTCTTCGCAGGAGATGGAGGGGCCCATGGCTGGGCCAACATCGCTGTTTCCCGAAGGGTGGATGCCGCAGGCCCGATACGTTTGGTCGCGTTTTGGTGGATCTGTAGGATTGCCATGACGCCATCATGAGCTCGATTCTGCCGCCGCATTTCAGACTGCATTCTCCGAGGCAAGGCCCTAACGTCGCGACCGACAAGAGAAGGCGCACTGTGTCTGTGCTGCCTGGCCTGTGCGGTAACACTTCTGGCGATGGATCGAATGTTAAAATTATCCTTTAATGGAGGCACAGAAGGTGGCGAGTATTCCTATTCCTATACCGCGGCTCAGGTCCGAGAGGTGAAACCCCTCACCGAGCCTATCCATGTTTCTAGACACTGCGTATGAAAATGAACCCATCGAAGCCATGGCCACTTCGGAATGTTTGCATCTGGTTTCTGGCAGCGGGCATCCAGCCGTGCACATCCTTCAGCCGCCCGAGCCTTTCCCTGAAAACCAGACTCGCAGGCAGAGGCTGTTCCAAATGCGAACGTTAGGTTCGTACAGGGCCTCTTTACTGTAATCAATTCGGAAAACTGTGGGTGCATGAAAGCAATCGAGACCTTGGAAATGACGCAGGTGAATCGTTCCAGGAGCCCGGGAAATGGGCGCCGGCAGTGGTGGACCCGCAGTGGGCGGAGTGGAAAGCCTTTCACCCGAGATTCTGCTCCATGTTCCCGCGTTTGTGTGCTAATGATGGTCTGTCGGTTCGGGTCACAATCATGGCAGCGCAAGACATGCGCGAGCGCATGCTTGGCATCGGCTCCTGCTGGTTTGTGCCAGTAGTCCTTCTCTGCACTGCCTTCGGGGTCTGGCGGCCTGGGTTGCCTCTGGCAGCAAACAATCCGGCCTTCCGCCTCGACAAGCTTACCGCCTGGTGGCATCGCGGCCCACAGCTTTCAGTAATTTCCTTGAAAGTCTATGTGTGCATGTTGCTGGTCATCGAGCTGCTTGGTGCTTCAACACCGCTGGTCTCAGTGCTCTCCCTGCCAGAAATTCTGCGAAGAGTGCGAAGACACCCCTACGGGCCCGGAGAAGCTCCGCTGCCTTCTGCATACTGTAACTAGTAGCAGTCTTGTGTCCCGTCTTGTCTTGAGATTCCCATGGAAAGTACACCGAAGCACCAAGGACGAGGTGGGGCTATTTGGGGGTCACGGACTGGCAGACTCGCCCCATCTAATGCCTCGACTCACCTATTTGTTCATGCCAGATCTGGACGACAACACCGCTGAGAGCTATGCCTCTTTTCATGCTGTTCTTCGAGCCACGCTGCTGGCTGCCTGGTGCATCTTCCTGGTCGCACCATGCAGCTGGAGAAGGACCTCCACGACGTGCTATGCTTGGGGAGCGGCGCTGTACTTCTATTTCGGCAGCCTGAGCATGATGTTTGCGCCCACCACCAGCGTGTGCTCCTCGTACTTCTTTGTGGTAGGTGCTGTCTTCGTGGTGGCAGATGCTGAAGATGCTTCTGCGCAGGCATGGTTGTGGAAGTTCCTGGTCATGAGCATATTGGCGCCATACTACCTGGCAGCAGGCTTCGCGAAGCCGCGGTACGCTGGCTGGACATCAGTTCTTACCGGGACTTGGATCCGGGAGGACTCGTTAAATTTCCCTTCGATATTTCCTGGCTTCAATGCTTGGGTGGCACACACCCCCTTGGCGGCCGCCCTCTTTTCGTTCGGGTGCATGCTCGTCGAGTTCGTGGGGCCTCTGCTCGCTCTTTCCATCGATGCCGGAAAGCAATGTTCCAAGGTTGCGCGGTGGACGCTTACGACATGGAGTTCGCTTGTCCTTGGTTTTCTCCTGGGAGCCTATATCTTCTTCGGCCCAAACTTTATTCGGCAGGTGCCCTTGACAATCATGATTCTACATGGGCTCTGGTGCACAGATGGATCCGAGAGCCAGCGGCCGGAAGCTCAAGGAGCCCCACCTGTGGTATATCACTGCAGGGTCATATTGGCAATCCTTCTGTTGAGCTCCTGGTTTGCTGTTGAACTGTGGTCAGACCTAGCACATCTCACCGGCGCCACGCCACAACTATCAAAGCATGATCCAGCATGGCCAATCGGCGAGTTCGGTATGTTCGTCTATCCTTCGGAGACATCGAATTACGCGCGGTCGTTGTCTCTCGAGATCGTGATCTTTCTTGGGCTTTGCGTGAAGAAGTCACAGGACCTTCGGTCCGTGGCAAAGAGCGGCGAGATTTAGCAGCGAGCAAAAGGCCGCTTCATTGGCAAGCCGTTGGGCCTTATCTTGTCCTTTCTTGCATTCAGTTCTGTCTCCAGGCCGCTACAGTAGCTCCGGACCCGAGTTCCGAACTTCGAAGCTCGCATGGCCTCCAAGCTACTCGGCTCACAGCGAGTCAGGAGGTGGGTGTCTTTTACAAGCACACTATGCTGCTACCTAACCTAACTGTAACTGTGCTCCGGCCTTCGCAAGAAAGCATCAAAATCCTGAAAGCCGATACAGATCCCACCTCAACGCAGTGATCCCAGAGAACGTCTTCGGCAGAAGCGAGAGACTCTCAAACTGGGCTTGCAATTGTCAGCGATGTCGTACCCTGGCGGTCACTTGGCCCAAGGCGCCATTCTGATGCTTGCTTCAACATGACATTGGCAGTGTGGTGCTGTTCTTGCTGTGATCTTTGCCGTGATCATTGTCAGTAGGGGCCGTATCCCTTTTCCGAAAATAAGGCCGTAAAAGCAGGGATTGAGAGTGAGTTTCAACAAAAGATCGAATCTCAGCATAACGGTACATCCCCATGTGATGCTTGTCAGGCACAACTACCTGATTCGAAAAGAGTTTCACTTTGTCTGTGTCTGTGTCGGCTTCGTCAGTCTTCGCGGTTTCTGCTGCTTTTCACGCAGCATAGGCCCGAAGCCGGGCTTCCAAGAATTCCCCGAAGGCGAGGGAAGAGACGAGGTGCATACCTTGCACCCATGTCCTGTCATTTACAGCGGATCGCGGCTCCGCTGGAAGCCATCTCCCGGAGAGCCGGAATCATTGTAAATTCTTAGAAAATTCCAAGGCATGGACACTTTTCCCTAAATCGGAGCAGTACTCTGCCTCCTGAATTTTGCCAGTACATGGGGTCAAGCTTGGGGGAAAGCAGTGTGGGCCCGCTCCCGAATCCAAAATCACCGGTGGGAGAAAGCCTTTGGGCCGTGGTTCGGAAGTTGTCAGTACTTGGGGGGAGCCTAGCAGTCTGTCGGTAGTGTGGAGGTCTCCTGGTCTACGGGGGTCTCTTGGTGGTGTGTTGTGGTCTCCTAGTTGTCTCGTGGTTTGTTGAGTATTTTGCAGGCTCAGAACGGTCTTGGCGGTCTCCTGGTCATCTCCTCGTTGTCTCCTGGTTTGGGGACCGTGGCAAAATATTTTGGCGGAGAGCCGAGCAGTTCTGGCACGAATGTCTGAGTGGGGGCTGGAAGCTTGTCTAAGCGCCTGTTGCCTTCGCGATGCCTCTTCGGTCTAGTCCCAATGGTGAACGATGCCAGAGGCTTGAAGTCGCGTCTTGCGCTGCCCCGAAGACTTAGACTCGGAACTCCCTCTCGGCTGAGAGCTGCCAGGTGTGCCTGACAGATTCACATTCCAAGACTTTTCGCTGATTTGGACCACCTGCTCCCACAAGCTCCTGGTCTGCCTTTTATTTTCCAGTTCACGCATTTCGGTGCCAGTCGACGTTGTTCATTACCTGGTACTGTAATCCTGCGGCTACGAGAAGCTTCACTTCGAGAAGCAGGGTGTTAAGATCTCACGGGGATGTGTTTTGTGGCTGTTAGAGGGTGTCAGAATCTTGTCGTAATCCATTCTGGACACTCGAGACCTGTGCATGCGTTCTTCGTTCCCTTCCTCGAACCGGGAAAGAGCATGAGTCTCATTGTGTTGATATATCACAAAGCTATGTACGGACGTCATTAAGCCCAAGCGAACCCTAAAGCATCGAACTTGTCGTTTGTGTGGTTCCTGCTGTGGAGTCCATGCGAACATGTTCAGCCAATGATCCTGCGGCAAGGCTCAGATCGGCTAGGCGGATAGAATCATGCAACCTCGCCGTAGTGGAAGCCCAAGTAGCTCGCAGTCCATATTGGCACTGGTTGGAAATAGCTTCTTGAATTGCTGCCAACTTAATTTCGTGCGCAGTTATGTCACATTTGTCATTAATCTGTACATTCTTCCAGAACCAACTCGGCAGCGCTCCTTGCAAACATAGATCCCGCAAGCCACAAACGCACACTTCCCACTCCCGGCTCGGGACTAAGGCTGGGGCTGGATTGGGCTGCGCCTCGCACTGCAGAAGAAGCCTCTCAGCCCAGCTGGGAGAGTACGGAGGCCTAACGCTACGATCTCAACCCCTTCCTTCAGCACGAGCTTTACGAGCCTGGCCAGGGCTCTGAGCCCATTCTGCTGCACATAGTAGCCGCAGTAGCCCCCCGGGGAGTGATATCTCGGAGTTTTGTGCTTTGAAGACATCTTCAATGCCCCCAAGGAGCTTCCGTCACACAGGAAGGATGTTCCCCTAAAGGTGCGACACGAATGCCACACAGGACTGCGGCCAAAGCGTGTGAAACTCCATCGCCGACTTTCTCGCTGTTGCTGCTTCACCAGGCGTGCTTCAAAATGCCCTCTGTCAGCTGTAGCT